AGGAGAGTAGGCAAGGAGGAGGGTAGGCCAGGAGGAGAGTAGGCAAGGAGGAGAATAGGCAAGGAGGAGAGTAGGCCAGGAGGAGAGTAGGCAAGGAGGAGAGTAGGCAAGGAAGAGAGTAGGCCAGGAGGAGAGTAGGCAAGGAAGAGAGTAGGCCAGGAGGAGAGTAGGCAAGGAGGAGAGTAGGCAAGGAGGAGAGTAGGCAAGGAGGAAAGTAGGCAAGAAAGAGAGTAGACAAGGAGGAGAGTAGACAAGGAGGAGAGTAGGCAAAGAGGAGAGTAGATTCAATACAAAAAGCTGAAAAAAATTATTTTCCTCGCCCACAACTTCTCAGTTCGTCTCAGCGGGAAGAAAATAAGTCTGAAACTACACTAGGTACATTCGTGCCGTGCCGTGATCTTAAGAGTGTATATGGACAATGACCGTGCTTAAGGAGAACCGTGAGATTCGAAAGGCGCGTCACAAAATATTCCTACCATATCGTTAATAGAAATTGTGTGGGACAGTCCTTAGAAATTAGTGTCAGGATTTTGCCGTCAAAAGTTCAATTGTAGAACCAAATTCCTTGGGGGAGGGGGAGGTGTGAGTAATGCGTACAATAGGCTTTCTGGTGAAACATTTGATGCTCGTAAAACCATTATTTTTTAACAACAAAAACAAAATAAATGACGCCATTGGTACGTATTTAACTTGCTCTTTTAGAATTTGATAGTTTTAACCCTAAAATCCAAAATTGTGGAAAATCACAATCTGGATTTACTTCTAGGATCGGACTTTTTCTAGGTGGAGTGTTGGATCGGGTAAAAACAAATTAGAAAGTTGAAGATTACTTGATAAATAGCTTTGACGTCGTTATTTTTAGAAATTAAGAGATGCGTRGATTTTATGAAAAGGAAACGGGTAAGGAAACGCTGTGATAATCTGTACCCCTATGCCACTTAATTTCACATTTCCTTTCTTTTATATCAAGCAAGAAATGAAAAAGACAGTCGAAAATCCCTCACCTGTGACCATGCAAGATCATATGGTAAAACTGAAAGAGAGCGCTTGTACAGTTACCACTGATACTGCATGTAATATAGAGGGCAAAAAAGTCTTTATTGTAATTCCTAAAATAAGCTTGCTTTGGTATCCTTTTAAGTGTTGTGATCTTTGAAAAACTCGCTACTCCGCAGACACATCTTCACACGCTACAGAGGGAAGCCTTATGTGGTTAATGTAATATCTAAAAGAGAAAATAATCTTAGCAAATAAGGTGTCCTTTTGAGTGTTGTGATCTTTGTAAAACTCCGGGTATTCCGCACTCCTTCACACRCTTTGGAAGGACACCCTCTGTCGATGTAATATCTAAGAGAAAATAAGTTTACTGTGGTGTCCTTTTGAGTGTTGTGATCTTTGTAAAACTCCGGGTATTCCGCACTCCTTCACACGCTTCGGAAGGACGCCTTCTGCCGATGTAATATCTAAGAGAAAATAAGTTTAATGTGGTGTCCTTTTGAGTGTTGTGAACTTCGTAAAACTCCGGGTATTCCGCACTCCTTCACATGCTTTGGAAGGACACCCTCTGTCGATGTAATATCTAACTAACTGCTAACCGACCGTCCTTTTGAAGCGTGTGAAATATTGTTAACCGACCGTCCTTTTGAAGCGTGTGAAATATTGCTAACCGGCCGTCTTTTTGAAGTGTGTGAACTAGTGTTAACCGACCGTCCTTTTGAAGCGTGTGAAATATTGTTAACCGACCGTCCTTTTGAAGCGTGTGAAATATTGCTAACCGGCCGTCCTTTTGAAGTGTGTGAACTAGTGTTAACCGACCGTCCTTTTGAAGGG